AAGTTTCTGTATGTCAGCACCACCACAATGTACAGACAGTAAGAATGAGGCTTTTCTTGTTGTGCATAATCTAGCCATGATCCACCCGTGGCCCAGAAAGACAGGCTGCAGCACCCACTCTCTCGGAAAACGCTGGGCATCTGGTGCAACAGACAGCCTTGCATGTTAATGCCGAGTTAATATTATTATTATGAACTGCGAGTGACTTCGCATGTTAGTGAGTGCTCTGTCAAATTAATGTCAGTTCCATTAATGCCGCCGTCTATTTCATGTCACAAGTACGCTGGCGTCAGACTCCCGCTCGCTTAGGCACACTGGGGCTAGATATGCAAACACACAAAGGAGCGCGCGCACAACCTGCCTTGTGAAAAGATTCACACCACTGCACATCAACAGTAGATACATATTTACACATGCACGCCTAGATGCACTCACACACATACACACACACACATCTTTTCTCTACAGAAGCGAGAGATGAGGGGAGGAAAATGAATGTCCTGACTCATTTATCACATAGCCCCAAAAGTACAGATGAAACCAGTGATGAAAATCTGTCCTGAGAAATGTCAGGAAGATATTAACTCCAATACATCAAAGTGGAGCTGCAGTCTCTAAGCTGACTGCCAGCCGATACTCCCAGCCTTTGGTTAAATAGGGGGAGCACACCAGCGCCGATGTAATTTTAGCCAACTCTGACCATTTGTCAAACAGAAACGAGTAAATAAAGACACAAGTCACTTCCGTCCAAAGAATGACATCCGAAATGATGCAGAGTGATTTTCATTAGTGTGCAAATGCCATTCTTTAGATCTGTCTGATCTCAATGAAGTGTGAGAGAGTGAAGGGAAAGAAAAGAAGGGGGAAATTGCCTTTTCATGTAGATTTCACTAATCGCTTCCCTAACAAAATACGGCAGACTTGTACTAATAAGTAAGTTAAGGCTCAGTGGACAGATAGAGTGAAACAGCACAGAGGCTAATGGAATTGAGAGCTTTCCATGCCTCCATGGGTGTCTTAATTGTCAAAAGGAGATTCTCATAGGAGTATTTCGCAACTCAACTGCTGTATTGTGGGAAGCCTAAATTGGAGAGCGACTCACTGGGCTTGTTTTAAGCCAGGGCTTCTCTTGTGTGTGCGAGGTGGATCAAATCCCTTATCCAATGTCTGGAAACAGGTCCTGTGATTCACTCTTGTTTATTTGGCAACCAGCTCTAGCAAAGTATATATTTTCAATACAGCCAATAGGGACTGCAGTAGACTCATATCTAAAATCCATAACTTCTGCTGTTCTGTGCTTTTTCATTTTGCACTCTCTCCTGGAATGTATCATGTGCTCGTTTATTTCTGCATGGATTTATTTATTCATGAAAATGTCACGTGTGATTCATTTGAAATTTGAAGAAAAAAAATATATATGCTTTTTCAATCTCAACCAGCAGGGATTTATTGACTCCCATTGCTGTTGTTATCACAATACCTTTATAGTGATCTATTTTAGCCTTTCTACTCTTCACTAGTTATTACAGCCCTACAAGTTCCAACCACTGTGGTTTCATTAGTAGGGAAATTGGACTGTAAGGGACTTCATGAGAGATAGAGAATGCGCTTTTAATCTAAAAAGGTCAATGTGCGGCAGCTATTTTGGAGATTCACTGCGAGCTTATAATTGGGGCCTTGTCTGAAGACAATGTAGAATTAAATGAAGACAAAGTTACCAAGCGTATGGTTGGCCTTTGATGAGAATCAGGGAGTGAGGACCCTTCATTTGCAACCTTTAATCAGTTCAGTGAGATCAGATTCGCATGTGATTCTAAAAGAAAGGAAAATGAGGGGAGAAATGAAATGGTAATTAGTATTGATTACCTATGGGCATATGACCCCGCGGTCTCCCCTTGCATTCTTAAATCAACCCAAATTATTGAATTTACTAATTTCATGCTTGGAGAGAAGTAGCCACCAACATGAAAATGCCTCCACAATGAACCATGTGCCAATTGAGGTTCAAGGAAATTATAGCGATGGGAAACGAGGTGTCTTTTTGTGGAGGGGCGTGGGAGTGAGGCTGAATTAACCACACAGGTTTAAGTTAAGGATGATAATTATCCCAGGAGGGTCTGGTGGGAGTAAAGGTGATTCAGGTAGCTTTTTCTTCAAATTACATTTCACGTCACTGCACTGTCGCTAAGCGACGGCCTAAGCCCGGATATATATACATGTAATTACTCGCAGTTAAGACAGAAAAAAGGACCATTTAGGTGGGAAAAAGCAGCACAATTACATGTATACACAATTAATACACCCAAGGGAAATTGAAATTTTCTTTCAAATGATAAGATTAATTCCTAATTATAGCTACAGACACACTCACATGCACATACACACAAGGCCTCACACAGTTAATCTACTTTAGTGGATTTAAGCCACCATATACTGAAATTGTGAAGAGCCGAAGTGGACAGCAACTGATGGAAGGAATCGGTGTCATAATGCACCCAATGAACCCGGGTACCTGGGATGTGACAGTGCTCTGCCGCCATCTGCTGGCTTTTAGATAGGACATGAAAACAGCACTACTAGTGCAGAGTCTGGGAGTCTTTTTGAATCCTGTTGTAAAGACTGCATTTATCAGAAGTTGCATCTCTATGTTCTGTTTCTGCACTTTTCTGTTCTGAACAGGACCCTGTTTTGCATGACAAACTCAGTTTCCCTTACTACTACTACTATATTAATTAAAATGATACAAATTTATTGAAGATAATATTTTTCATTTCCGGCCTTTGTGTATTTCTCAACTGTGTTTACAGTGTTACCAAAAACCACCATCAAGGAACATTAACATTGACGGATTATAAGACACTCGGCCCCTGGGCACAGACATGTAAACCCCCCACCCCTCCTATATAACAGTAAGACTGAAAGAGACAAAGAAACGAAATAGCCGTTTTGTCTCTCTGCAGTCAATTTGTCTCTCTTTGGAATTGTTTTGCATCTCCTTACAGTTGTTTTGGGTCTCTTTGTGCTCCTTTGTAGTTGATTTGTGTCTCAAATTATTTGATTACCAACAACAAACATTTACTGACACTTTAGACAGAGGCTCTGGTCCAGTGGCCCCTTGTAGAGGCTGACATTTTTTTGGGAATCCTGGGATGAGAGTCAATTTCACTAATCACCACAGGAGTAGGTGGGATGTGTATCATAGGACAGTTTTTATCTGTAAATATGCAGTTCGAATATAAATAAACTATTATTATTTTCTGATTCGTTCTTATAGTGAACAGGATGGGACATCATATTTTAGTGGGAGTGAGATGAGACATGAGTGAAAATCCACTCCCGCATCAACCTGGAGCCCTCAACTCCTGGGCCTGTGCGTGGTAGGCAATTTAAGTAATCTCTCCATGTCCACTAACCTACTGATGTGTCAGTCATTACAAACTTATTTTAGTTGTCCATAGGGCTGTCCCCAACTAAGGATTTACATAGTGGAATCAGAATCGTCAAGTCCTGCCTATAGTCTAGTCGAATCATGTATGTTTTTGTGCATGGCGATTGCGAGCCGAAGCTAAACTGAGACTTATTGTTGACCATTTTCCCTCTCTCTCTCTGTCTCTCCCTTGTGCAGAGGTTTTGCGGTGCTGCTGACAATTGCAGCCAAGTCGCAGTTCCTCACAGGTCTATTTCAAGTAGTGCCTGTTTAAAAATGATATAATATTCTTTGTGTGGTTCATCAATGGTGATAAATTACCCAACGTACTGCAAGGTGTGGACAACTTGGAACAACACTGGTGAAGCTGTGGCTCCTCTCTTCAGCAAGTTTTCCTCCTGCCACTACACACATACAGGCTACGCATACACATGCGCACCGACGAGGGTTACAATTTTGGATTCATTCGTGCACTTTAAAAACATTTATTATTATTATTTTTCTTTTTACATGTTTATTTACAGCATTAAGTGTTGAAATGTTTTGACAGTCGAATCAGGCTCCGCCCATTGAATCATGAATGTTCACTATTTGGGGTCAGCCCTAGTTGTCCAAGCTTTGGTGAAACCTAATATAATGTATTTCAAATTCTACTAAATATTTTTTATATATTTTCAGAATTGTATCAAATGAAGCGCAAGACATCGACAATATTTTTATTTTTTAAATATTGTTTGAATATTTCACTCAGTGTGAACATCATGTAGCTTAACTGAAGACTGAAGTGTTGGCTACCCTGCCCTATAAAAAAAACACACCAATTTTAATTTTGCTATTCTAATGAAGCATTCCCTGATGTGAACCATGCCTTGAACAAAAGAGCTCTCAAAAGACATAAGATTAAGAATTGTTGACTTGCATGAAGCTAGGAAGGGTTACAAAAGTATCTCTAAAATCCTTGATCATCAGAAAAATGAATTCCAAAGTTTTTCAAGAAATTTTGCTGGAGAATGTAGGGCCATCTGTCCACTAGTTGAAGCTTAACAACACAGTAAGTAAGTCAACAACAGAATGGCTTCAGCAGAAGAAAATACACCTTCTGGAGTGGCCCAGTCAGAGGCCTCAAGAGAGCAATTCACACCAGACATTCCAAGAATATTGCTGAACTGAAACGGTTTTGTAAAGAGAAATGGTCCACAATTCCTCCTGACCTATGTTCAGGTCTGATCTACAACTTCAGGAAACGTTTGGTTGAGGTTATTGCTGCAAAGGAGGGTCAACCAGTTATTAAATCCAAGGGTTCACAAAAAAACATAACTGATTGTGTGGTATCAGTTTAAGCAGACCGTTTGTCTGGTTGTGACTTAGATGGAGATCAGATCACATTTTATGACCAATTTATGCAGAAATTCAGGTAATACCAAAGGGTTCACATACTTTTTCCTGTGACAGTATGCGTTACTGTCAGAACTTCCAACTTTACAGCTACTTAAAAGGGTAATAAAGGGGAGAAATGGGATGTTTAAGGGGTTACATAAATAAGGAAATAAAGAAATCCAGTGACACTAATCACTAGGGTAAAGCTTCTCAAATCAGATTTTTATTCTGTGGGAAACAGTCTCTTACACATCTAACTTGTTGGTGCAATATGACATGAATATACAGCTATTCAGTATAGCAGTGCCTACAGTTAATAATATATCCATGTTTACAAGCAAAATCAACAATGTTAAAAATATCAATATTAGTTTCAGTGTAAAGCACAGCAAGCAGTTCTCTTGAATTGCAGCAGTACAACTGTATTGCATCAGTCTCACATAAATATGCTGAACCTCACACTGGTTCTAGGCAGATACACACACACACAAACTGGTTTTTACAGTCTATTCAGTCCTCGTGCAGCTCTGGTCTCAGAGCCTGCCTAAACAACCGCATACAGAGAAAGTGCAATTTAAAAACAATGGTGACACTAAACATCCGGGGCAACAAGGACACACAAATGTATGGCAGGTCAGCTGTTTCTATGTGTGTGAGAGCATGTGTGTATTTGATGTTAGAAACACAGCAGAGGCAAGGTTACAGTTCATGACTTTGTCAAGACAAAACAGAGAGGAGTGACACTGAAAGGGAAATGACATGGTATGTGGCCAAACAGAAACTGCAGTTGACATTGACGTTACTGGAGCTCTTTTACAACACACCAACTGACACCTCACAGACTTTCAGTCTGACACAGAGACCGGACGTTGCAGGCCGCAAGATGTACAGGCCTTCACATTGCTACTGAAGCGTCCGATTCTTTAGGCCGGTTGCGTACAACATGCTCCAGCTGTCCAGAGTCTGAGACGTCGTAGCTCGTCTTGTACTTAGCCAGGATCTTCATCAGAGGACGCAGCTTCAACCACCACTGCTCCTTAGGGATCCTGTGACTGCAGACAGACGAGGAAATATCAGCACTGTGGTTATGTCTTTTTTTCCCGCTCTAAAAATGTAATTATCCAGCAGTGAAAGGCTCAATTCCCATCTGCACCAAATGGATATGTGACACAAGAGTGACTTTAAATGCTACAATATTTATTTCTGAGTACTGATGGATCAGCTCCAACATAAATCTAGGAGTATTTAGCATCAGTCAACTTAGCTTTGACATTACAGCAGGTTCGGTGAGCCAGCATTAACGTGTAGAACAATTAGAAAAGATTAACATAAACAGTGTGATAATTTCCCTTTATTATCCGTTTTATTATCTTACTCACACACTACCAGGCTTATTCTGTAACTGTATCATATTATCTGTGGCTGCAATTACCCAATTTACCCACAAGGGTGGATAAACTCCCGGTACGGTCATTTAATGTGCATGGCATGGATATAACCAACAGTAACCCAACTTTAACAGGGCAAACTGGAACGGATCAGAAAACAAGGAAGCTTCATGCTAAAAAATGGACATGACATGTATGGAACATAAGTCTACATCAAATAAAGGCCTGTTACACTCTAAAGTTGAGGTACTTAAAAGGCTCCAGACACTATTTGAGAATTTTGGTATTCAAATCTACTACTACTACTACTACTACTACTGTCAGTAGTCCTAGGCATGTTAAAGGGATAAGGTTGGGGAACTCACAAGATACAGATTAAACAAGAATGGTATAACAGTGTCAACAGTGACAAGACGACATCATCTGGGTTATTTTCTCAGAATCCGAAAACTAAGTAGTACTTCCTGTGATGACTAAACTGCTCTTCATGTGTAAAACTGGTGGAGTGTCCCCTTTAAATTCAAGTGCTGTCATACGTACACAAAGTCAGTCTGGTCCTTGAGTTGTACAACTGGCTGGAAGACCAGAGCCCTGCGACGCATCCCCAGCAGGCAGCAGGAATCCTCACCGTTAGCAAACACTCGGCCTGCAGGGAAACAACTTAGCATCAGAGGTCGAGACACAGGGACATACTTTAACAGTCCTTTTTTCTTCTGGGTTTCAATCATACAGTAACGTAGAACAGACATTTGACAGTGGGTTTGGGAGCATGTATATAGTGATGATGACCTTTCTTATAGCTGGTAGCTATCCTTAAGATTACAAGGATAACAGTAACTAAGAAGAGTTTTGTGTGGATTCTCAGGAGGACTACAGTGGGGTGCAACTTAAAGTCTATGAACAAAAAGCCACTGAAGCAACAGAGACAGACAAGAGCATGTGGGGCAATGCAGGTAAAAGAAATGTGTACATTATTCATACAGCCCACGCTCATAGTTTTCAGTTTTACAATTTCAGAAATGGTGTAGCAGTGATACTACTGATAAATTAGTGAGACTAAAGCCTAAAATCCACTGACTCTGGCTACGGCGAGTTACGGCTGTGTAGCGGTTGCCGGAGCTCATCGCGGCCATTATAGTCAATGCTTGCGAGTCCACCAGAAGCGGCTCTCCGCTCCACAGAGAATAGGTAGCAGGTCCATTTTTGACGCAAGCCGCGTTAAGCAGCGCAGAGCAGATCAACCCAGGCAAGAAGTCAGACACAGAACGGCATAGAGAGCTCAAGACTCTCCCCTTACGGTGGAACACCATCGAACCTTACTTTGGAAAAAATATGTATGGTAGTCAATGGCAAGGGACATCAAATGTTTTTATCCAGTTTGAATTTTGCTCTGAATTACACGTGATGATGGTCAATTTAAAATATACATTTAAAACTCAAAGTCGCAGTTTGTTGTAAAACTGTTGAGGTATATGAATGTGAAAATATATAATTACAAAGACCACAAACCCAATAGTCACGTATGTGACGTCATTACTGTTTCTCTCAATGACTGAAGCTAGTTACTGAAGCTAACTTCAAAGAGCTTCCATGTGTAGCTTAGATGATGTGATAAAAGGACGTAAAACACATCAGGTGAAATATATTTCTGCATATCTATGTATGTACTCATTATGAGCTAGGTTGTATGTTGCATCTTTTATTTATTTATTTATTTTTTGTTGCTGTAGTATGTGAAGTCCATGAAAAAGCATTTCAGTATAATGTCTGTGTTCCTTCTAGCTCATTTTAATGCATGCATTCATAATGTATGACTTCATCTTAAAAGATTGTTCAATTAATTTTATACTTGTTTTTTAAGTTTTATAGGTTGACTATTTAAAAACTGTCCAGGGACTACAGATGAAAAATAGTCTTTTGGCTAACTGCACTGTCCCTGCTAAATTAAACTGATTAAATAAATTAAATGGAACATAGTTAAGTTATCTAGCTAGCAGCAACCAAGCAATGAACGTTAGCTAGTAGTACCGCGTTAACATGTTGGTGACGTATACTGTACGAGACGAGATGTTTTTCACACAAAACTAAATGTAACACTGTTTTACGACAAACATCAACTTTCTTGATGGGCAAAATTATCTTTTAAATTGACAAAGAGGATCAAAAAATAAGTTCTCTCTCACCATTCACTACCGTACATATTTTTCCCCGAAATAAGGTCCCATGGGGAGCGAGGGACTTACGGTCTCTATAGAGAAGCCAGTCAAATTTCAAAATAAAGACACCCTGTCGAGACTCAGAATCAGAAAAAAAAACAATAAACACGTTTAAAACAGACACAAAAAGAAGCCATTTAACTACGTAGCCTACTTAATCACAGTAGAAAACACAAAATGCAAACACTGATTACCAAATCAACAAAATCTGAACATGTCAGTAAAATCAGGCAGGCAAAACGCTACGATTCTGAAATGCTCCTTTCATATGCAGCCTGAACTATACAGAACAAAAAAACGGGGTCACAGAGAGCTATGAAGAAGGTAGAAGCACAAAAAGGACAAATTAATAACAAGTCAATAACGTGGTGCAGGCTGCACGCTCTGCTGCTGAAACGTTTCTGAGACACTTCTAGTGAACTTTCATGCCGGCCTATGGACGCATCAGAATCATGGCGCAGCCGTAACGTGCCGTAGCTGGAATCCTGGACTAAGGCATACACTCAGACTGGTAGCAACACTAACCAGTCATTGCTGTACCCCACAAGAACCTATCAGACAGGCTGTCTGGAGCATTGCAGGTATGGCAGAACAGTGGAAAAGACAGACAGGGACATGGAGCTTAATATAAAGATGTAGATGGTCATGGAGCTAACATGCAAAAAAAAGATTTACCTTCATCTTATGTCATCCATGTGTATGGGAAATAGAGATAAAAAACAAAGAGGAGTTTTAACTTTAATTGTAGCCTTTATACACAAGCAGTGTGGTTTTAAGACAAACTATCGTTCAGAAGTATCACATCACTTACAGTTTTTAGTGTTATCCGCCAAAAGAGGACATTTCTAAGTACATTCAACTAAATTTCTCATTTTGTTACGCTGATGGATGTGAACGATAAATAAATCATTTCCTTTGTGAGGACAAAAATACATCAATGCCACACATAGTGACTCAATGACAGATCTGTGTGAAGGTCTGCTTTACAACGGTCACGCTTCTGTACGGTGGGAGGATCAACTACCACCCGTCATTTCCCTAATGCTGTAGTGGAACATTAACCTTACCGTGTCTGAATGTCTCCACCAGCTTTTTAGTAACCCACTGCATCGCCTTGGCAGAGATCTTGGTCCCAAAGTTGCGGTCAAACGGAGACGGTGCTCCTCCCTTTCAAAAGATCCAAAATATATCATTTTGTTGTTGTTTTTTCACAAAACATGAGGATGACACTTGACATTCTGCATGTTTTCCATATATGCTGTGTGTAAAATTAAGCATTTGTTTTGTTCATTTGTTTCAGACTGTTTGTCTTAATATTTTAGTGTTTTGCATTTATGTCTGTATTGCTTGCTCATGTGTATTTCTAGCATTCATAATTACATTTCTTTAGTACACCATAGTGTGCACTCTCACTCTCAACTGCTGGACATATTTTTTAACAATTCATTTTTATTTATTTTACTTGTCACGTTTTAAAGATATTACATTCAGTCTGACCCAGACCCATCAGCACAACCGCCAAACTTGTTAGTTGTGCTATGTTTAAAAACGCTTAATATCATATCAAATCTCCTTTCATTTTCTCTTTCCTATATCTCATTACTTGCCGTAGACGCAACCCAATTTCCCCTTTGGAATCATCAAAGTTTTGTTTGATCCAGTTTTATCTGCCCTAATCTCAAGACACACAAAGCCAAAATACAACAAAGCCCATCCATGTAAAACGGGGATATGCATATTCATGATACAAATATAGAAAATTGTTTATTAAATCTTCCTTAGTGTCGTCGAATTGTTTCCCCAAGAAACTGCTTCAGAAGGCAATACTCCCACTTAATCAGTATGAAATGGTATGTGGCTGTGCCGACCTGCTGCATGTGTCCCAGCACATTCTTCCTGGAGTCAAACACTCCCTTCCCTTCTTCAGAGTACAGCTGGTAGATAAAGTCTGTAGTGTAGTTCTCATTACTGTTCTCGTTCCTACACACACGATAAAAAGAAAAACAGTCTGAGTCAACATTCATGCATTGTTTCTTAAGTGCTACTAGAGATGTCTGCTGCATTATCACTGACTTCATGTTACAGTGATATCAAGAGCAGCACTGCAAAATGTCAGCTGTTGCCATCATAAATGTGTGTGTTTACTAAATACTGAGAGCTGGAAATACTGGATTATAAGCACAGCATCAGTACCCCCAGTTATGTGTCTGTATTTTGCATTTTTACAAAATCACTAAACCCCTAAACTAACACAAATTAGACCACGGACCCCTGTTTGAGTTTGTCCCAGGGTCCCCCATGTGATAGAATTTTGGCTTTAAGATATTTTATTACAGAAAATGTGTAAAAATTATCAAAAAATCCATACAATGTGTATTCATGTTACTTACTGGACTGTGGTAATTCTGTCATAATGTTACCTGAGAACCAGTCCTCTCTGAATGCTGGTCTTCATTTTCTCTGTCAAGTGTTCAACATTGGCCTGTGGGAATATATAGTAAATGTGAGTATTGTTGAACAGTAGATGGCATTGTGCTGTAGAGGCTGTCGCAGAATTAAGCCTGAGTGCCCTCTAGTGGATGAGGTGAGAGATGACGTGTAAGGGACTGACCGTGTGTAATCAGAGAAAACAGCAGAGGCAAGTCAGTGTGTGTGTGTGTGTGTGTGTGTGTGTGTGTGTGTGTGTGTGTGTGTGTGTGTGTGTGTGTGTGTGTGTGTGTGTGTGTGTGTGTGTGTGTGTGTGTGTCTCTCTAAGAGATGAAGAGTTACCTGCAGGTCTCTGATGTCAAATGGCTCCTCATAGATGTAGGCAGCATCAGCTCCAGCAGCCAGGCCTCCTACACTGGCCAGGTAGCCACAGTAGCCTCCCATGGTCTCAATAATGAACACGCGTCTCTTGGTCCCGCTGGCCGACTGCTTGATGCGGTCACAAGTCTGACATGCATATAAGCTCACATCGTCAGCGTACATTAAGTGATCTGAGATACCTCCAGTTAAATTTCATGTTAACATCACAGAATCATAAAGTAAACCAGCAAGATTAGAAGAGTTCTGATTAGAGATCATACACTGTTAAATTAATACACTCCATATAGAAAAACAACAAAAAAAGCACTTTTCTCAAGGCCAGCATGCTATTTTTTTTCTCAATCTGCACAAGAGTCACATTTAAACGTTCAGGCAGATTCAAGCTAAAATGCTGAGTTCACCAGTTTGACTGGAGTTCCTGCGTGAGAATGAGAGAGCACATCAAAATAATAAACTTCAGATACATTTACAAATCAAATGTTATACACTTGGTTAATTAATATTTAGAGGGAAAACTGTCTTTTTCACTTATTTTGATAGTCCAATGCTAATAATCAGTTTGATATCAGGTGACTGATGTCAGAGTTTCAGATGTGTTAAGGGGCATGCCAGTGATTAGCATTTAGCCCTTCCATAAAGTTGGGGGACTCAAAAGAGACAGATCAAGGCAAATCAAGGCAGTAGAGGCTGAGATATTCTGACTTTTAATCCCTAGTATGGGTCAAGCTCCAAAAATGCTGGATCCGATATTTTCCATAATGCAACTTGACAACATCTTTCATCAGACCCTACTTGCCTTCTGAATGACCATGTCTCTAACCTCGCCCCTGTAGTTTGATGGGTTTAAATGGGTTAAAGTTAATCTTACATCTGAGGTTGATGTTGTAACTGCAGTCTGGGTAAGATTTGAGCTTTGGGCTAAAATTGTGGTAATGGCTTCGGAAATCTTCAGAGTTGCAGCAAATACTCATGCAACACTTATGGCATTTGGAACCTGACAGTTTGAGTATTAGCACTGGACCATTAACTCCACTAAACTCATATTCATCCTCTTTGCATTAGCATCTTAAACAAAGCGGTCGAAGTTGTGCGGGCGGCGGTTTGACTGCCTTACCTCCACAATGGCATTGAGGGCCGTGTCTGCCCCGATACTTAGATCTGTGCCTGGTACATTGTTACTTATGGTGGCAGGCAGCATACACATCGGGATGCAAAACTCCTCATAGGTAGCACGAGCCTCATACAGCTGCAGCAGACTCTCAAACGCCTGAAGCGGCAGTATATGAAAACACGTTAGAGCCACAGAAGGCTGGCCACGGAAAGAGAGAGAGAGTGGTGAATCTCTCTCAGTTTGCTAGAGCGTATCCTGCCATTCCGGCTCGTTCCGTGTGATAGTAGCAATGGCTTCCCTTTGGCAGAAAAGACGGGAGGACAGAAGTGTGAACAGAGAGACAGAGGACAGAGGAGAACGTGAAGAGAATGGAAGGACAGTGAAAGAGTGAGAACAGAGCGTTTGGGGGACACAAAATGTAGAAGTGCAAACAAAACAGCTGAAAGAAAGACAGGAGAAGACAAAGACGTGAAAGCAAGAGATGGGACAGAGGTCTGTGTGTTTGTGAGCCTCGGCAGCTCAGTGCAGTCACACTGCACAGCACAACCATATGACAGCCATTTCTGCTGTGGAAGCTCATACGCAGGCAAGACAAACACTGATCGAACCTGCATACACAGGAGGATGATGAGGAACGACGAGGACGGTGGCAAAGCCGACATTCAGGCTTAGAGGTCTTTCGGTTTATATTTACGCTGGTTGCTTAGTCTTAGTTTTTGTTAATTTGAATTACAATGATGCTTTAAACAAAACAGAAAGATGATGCTGTATTAATGTTTGAATGTATTCTTCACACAAAGAATGTCAAACGCATGTTACTGAATAAAGTTGGTGAAGGAGCTTCATCATCAATTCAAGCATAGTCACGCAACACAGTGCACGTGCTGTACAGCTGTATGTGCGAGCTAGTTAGACAACGTCAAACCTGCGTACTGTTAACCACTCATCTTGGTTGTTGATGTGGGAGAACACACATAGTCAAGGAGAAGGGCAGGCACAGCAAACATGGTGGTCACTACAATCGTGCACCTCACAGCATGCCTCCATGTCGTCACTCACTTACCTGTTAGGGAAGGGAGGGATGCTACTCTGAACATGGTTTTACATTTACCAGTCATGGCTTAAAGTACAGCTACAACTCAGATTGTCTGTTTTTTTGTGTAATCTCTGATCTTTTAGTGAAATTTGATTCCAGATGTGGCTAACAGATACCATATTCCCAAAATTTCCTCCAAATAATTTACCGACAGGCTGGTGAAGTATTTGAATGACTGGTAAAATGACTGAGTGAGCGATTTCTCCCTTCTTGAAACACGGCCAGCTATGTGAGCATGAGCAAGTTTGAGTTGCGTGTTTGTCTGCTTGCATGCGTGCGTGTATGTGTTTTATATCCGTCTGTGTGTTGCTGAGATCAACTAGTTCTGGTTGCCAGCACCATCACTTACAGTAGTGATGGCGTTCAGAGCCGTGTCAGCGCCAATGCTGAGGTCTGAGCCTGGCACATTATTGGAGACAGTGGCTGGGACCATGACCATGGGCACACAGAACTCGTCATATTTCCCGCGAGCCGTTAACAATTCCAGCAGTGACAGGAAGGCCTGCAGGGCAGAGCCAAGGGCTTTAGTGTCTGCAAGGGTGGAACTTTGGCAGGTTGGTTTGGTAGGGGGGTGCTACTTGCCACAAGGAAGGGAAAGACAAAAATGGAGGGTGCCAAGGGGAGGAGCCAGGTCTATCACAACGGACAGCAGCGAAACAGACAGGTACCACTCCACATACTTTAAACATTCTCTCTCTCACACACACACACACAAAGCTGGTGAGCATCTAAACAGGAGTGCGTGAAATGACTGGAAAAAAAGCAGGTGCTCTCTGTTTCCAATTAAAACCAAATCATCAGATTATTTAGACAGTTACAGTGTTGCTTCACTTTTCATTCAAATTATTCAAATGTCACAAATTAACAAGCCTACTTTCTCTGTAGTAGTGTATTAAAAGTAGCGAAAATCAACCTTTGAACCAACTTTATGCTACAATTCATGTTGTTCCAGGTTTTGGCAGAGAAATTACTTTGAAGCATGATTATGTACATGACTATGGAACCATATGGTGGTGTGCTGACATAAAATGGCATAATACTGATGAAAAGGATCAACATTACAGTGTTCACTGTCTTATACTGCACATCTGACAATATCATTAGCAATGCCTCAACATTTACTTAAGTGTAGGAGCAAAAATATAACTTCTCACAGCGTCGCTAAATATGAAATATTGCATTAGCCTTTCTCTATTGAATTTTCAAAACTCAAGAGCTTATGGAAATCAAATATAAGAATGTAGCCTCATTCGCTAAATTAGCTTGCAGAGACAAAAGAGTTTTAAACGTACCTCAAATCCGCCAACAATTAGCAGTGCATTAATGTTGTGCTTCTGCATCTGCTCAGCAATTTTATCAATATGCTTTGCAGGAAGTGTTCTGAAAGAAGAAAGGGAAAGAACTACATTGTTATTTGTAAAGAAATAAATAAAGCACAAATTATACAATCCACGGCCACTTTATTAGCTACACCTGTTCAATTGCTTGTTAACACTATAAATAGCTAATCAGCCAATCACATGGCAGCAACTCAATGTTTTTAGGCATGTAGACGTCAATACAACTTAGTAAAGTTCAAACCGAGCAACAGAATGTGGAAGAAAGGGGACTAAAGTGACTTTGAACGTGGTATGATTGTTGGTGCCAGACGGGCTGGTCTCAGTATTTCAGAAACTGCTAATCTACTGGGATTTTCATGCACAACTAAAATATCCAGTGAGCTGCAGTTGTGTGGACGAAAATGCCTTGTTGATGTCAGAGGTCAGAGGAGACTGGACAGACGGGTTTGAGATGACAGAAAGGCAACAGTAACTCAAATGACCACTTGTTAACACCAAGGTATGCAGAGTACCATCCTGAACGCACAACACAACGAGCCTTGAAGCCAATGGGCTACAGCAGCAGAAGGCCACACCAGTCAGCTAAGAACAGGAAACTGAGGCAACAATCCAAATAGGCTCACCAAAACTGGACAAAAGAATACTGACAGAGACAGAAAAATGTTGCCTAGTCTGATGAGTCTCGATTGCAGCTGCGACATTCAGATAGTCAGGTCAAAATTTGGCGTAAACAACATGAAAACATGGGTCTGAATATGGGTCACAAGTCTATGAGGAATGTTTCCAACAACTTGTTGAAAGTTTGCCTCAAAGAATTAAGGCAGTTCAGAAGGCAAAAGGGGGTCCAAAACAGTACTAGCAAGGTGTACCTAATAAAGTGGCCAGTGAGTGTAGATAACATTCAAACAGTTACAAAGGTATAGCTGTGAATTTGGAGAGATTAAATCTGTACCCAGAGTCTACAGCAGTAATATTTACTCCAACACTCCAAGAGATGACTAACAAATCAAGACTTTACCTTTTGGTTCCAAGCAGAGATCCACCTTGTCCCGTCCATCCACCAACATCAGCCCATTTAATCTCCTTAATCTGAGGAAAGAACAGTGATTTTATTGGAGAACTCCATTACCTTTTAAATATTTCCTTCCTTCATTCTGCATTTAAATGTAAGAATCCTTTGCCTAAGATTGATCTTATGTTGTTTTTGGTCCATTTACCACACACCTTAATGCAACCAGAACCTCCTGTGTTAGCTACAATTTTGTACTATCTGACACTTCCTCCTGGGGTCTTTGTGCAGAGATTGTTAAGAGGAGAGTTCATTTTCTGGACACACTCTCTCGTCTATTACAGAGGAAGTGGACCAGTGTAAACACAGAGGTGTGTTGGCAGAGAGTCCCAGAGTACTGAAGTATAGAAATCCATTACTCCCGCTGGTCTAATCTTCTTAGGGTCAGTTGGCGCAGCCTGATTTCAGCTGGCCAGGGCACACACAGGCTGTTTAACTAACCAGGGATATTGGAGCCATTTTGATGAAGATAAATGGTTGGTCAGATGGTTGGTTACATGTTCTTTAAACTACAGATTGAGGGAATTTGAAAAAGTCAGAGGACAACAACAGTGAGAGGAGTGTGGAACCAGTTTTACCAGTCAAGGAGCAGGAAAATATGATGTGTCAAATTACAGCACAGTCTAACACAAAACAGATTTCACTTACAGACTGAGATTTCTTTTGTCTGAGTTTACCTTTTATTCCTCCATAATTAGATCAGGTGAGAATCATCCCACTGACTGATTACTCCAAAGCTGTGTTATACAGTCTGTGTATTCTGTTGCCCTCTATCGGTTTATTGTGGTACTGTGTCAACTCTGGCTGAGCAGGGACAGTAAGTGTGGCAAATTGGTTTACATTAATCTGAGCAGATTATCCCCTGATTATTCTTCAGTCAGCCAGCAGTGTCTGACTCACCACTTCTCTTTGACGTGTTGATTCAAACATGAAATGATTACACACAATATTTTATTTAGCTCTTGGAGTAGATTATCTGATGAATACATTTAAATTATAACATTAAATCGCCTTAGTGTGATAATCTTTCCTGAAAGGTTTTTAATTTTAAAAGATTGAGATTGCAAAGTGTGTATACATTCACCAGTATATCAGTGCTGTTGAACGCACCTGTCCTTTGGAGAATCCCTCGAACCCATCACTGACCGCAAACATCTTGTGCCCCTCAGAGATGCCCACCCTGATGGCTGAACGAACTGCAGCATTCATGCCAGCTGCAGGGGCACCAACATTCAACACCGCCACATTGAAGTTGCTCTGAGGGCATAAAACATCACAATCACACCAAATAAAGCGAGTATGTTACGGACTCTGTAGAGCGAATTAATAAATGGCTTATGGTATGCTCTCAGCTACATGCTGGGCTTGCAGCGGTCATTATCACATGCACATGATGCAAGGGGAACTCCACAGCATGCCGTCTGCCATGCTGCCACTTCACTGATCTTCAGTCTGGCCTGCCACAGCTCCTGGCAAGGTTGAACAAGTCATTTCTCAGCGGGGAACCAGGTGTCATCTGATATCACTGCACAACAGACCAACACTGAGCCACCAGGGCCTCATGTGAAGCCTAACATGACAATTATACACTACACAGCACATAAAGGTAGCACAGCAAGCAGGCAAAAATATTATTTACTAGTCACCATGACTATAAGTCATCTTATTTTCCACAACAGTTGAGAAAATAGACTATATCTGATGGATGCCAGTATAACTAGTGTGCCATAATTATTGAACCTGTTATACTGACATTACTCAATTTTGCCAAACCACACGTTACAGGAATCTTTTACTCAGCCATTTTTTGCCAAGGATACCTCTGAAAATAGCAGCAGCCCATTGCATCATGAGTGCAGTAGCTGAGTCATTATTTGTAGGCAGATCTTTAGGACAGTTTAAATGCATCGTGGTGGCTTGGGAGGCCAATTCAACTCTAAAATCAGCCTGCACTCCGGGCATGGCGTGGACTGCTTCAGTATGTGTGGAAAAAGAAAACAGCGCCTGCTTAGTGTACGTCTGTGTGTGTACATGTATGGCTTGTGTTAGGAGTCAGCAAGCAAAGCTGACAACACTGTCATTGTCAAGTCCCAACAGGAATGTCAAGATGTCGTGAAGTGACTTACAACTGGCAGTTCGGATTCTGGTTTACGATGAGCCAGCAGTTTGTATGTCTTCAGGTTGTTTTCGAAACTCCTGCAGTAAAACATGGGACATGTGATATTGTTAAAACAATAGTTTGGCACATTTTCACTGCCACATACAAAAAAATACACAATGTGGGATCAAACCTGAAGGTTGTATTTTGAATTATCTGCCTAATTACTGTTTCCAACTGTTGACTGTATCTTATGTGTAAACAACAGACAGGTGGTGTTCTAAAATAGCACCATGATCCCCTTTCCCTACTACACCTGTCTTCAGTAAGCAACATCAAACTGATGCCATGTCTTGATCTTGAGTGAAGTACACAGCTTAGGTATTTCAGACTGGTCCCAGCTGTCAGTCATACCTGCCCCGAAGCCTAACTGCCTCCTCGAACCGTTTCTCATCCATGGCCTTCTGGACCTCTTGAGTCTAAGGAAAAGAAGGAGTATTTTTTCACTGTTTGAATTCAGCATTATTTTATATAATGTACACAGAGCAGAGGCTCTTTGTTTAATCAGCAAAGATTAAATATATGTAGGCATTCAGACTGTGATCTTTAAAGTAACTGCATGTAGGACTAAATGCCTTTCCAGTGTAAAGACAATGTACAATGCAAGAGTAAACATATCATCTGTTCCAGACCAAAAAAGTTGCTACTATGCAACTTTGTTTTGACCTGAGCCATTTCACAAAATCTGAAAATAATAGAAAACAGTGACAAGATTTTCCCTGGAGTTCTGTCAAAATCCAAACATGACGTGTGAGTGCAACAACAAAGCCTCTTTCTGCGTTTATATGGGGTGAGCTGTTATTACATCACCATCCTGCAGGCACTGCCAAAAGCTTCAGATAATCATTAACCAGACACAACTGCCTCTCAAACAATACAACTCTCTTGTGAACATTAGTGCCACTCCAGGCCTGATGGGCTCCTCTGTTTGTCATCATTACTTATGCTCCTCCAATTTGTCTCCATTGACTCTGCCTCGCTGAGTCCAGAAGAGTCAGTTCCTAGTGTGTGTTTGTATGTGCTTCGCAGTTTCCCCTCTCTCGTCAGCACCCATACTTTTGTAAATATGTGCTTGTGTGTATGTGAGTGTATTGAATGTGTGGAAGTCCTGGCCTGTTTCCAGCCCAGTCCGGTGCCTACCATCTGTACACACTCCATCAGAGGCAGGCGCACCGATTGGTTACCGCACAGAGAGACCACACAGGCTGGCGTGTTGGCTGTGGTCTCCAGAAGGGCAAGAACAGCCTCCACACCCATTCGACTGGCCTGTGTGAGAAAACACACACACACACACACACACACACACAGATAAAAAATGCATCATCCTCACTATCAAAACCTCATTTGTTTCTCCTGTAAACCTGCAATGTTTTCTTTACCAACACACTCATCCCCGAATCCAGTGATTTCTTTTCCACACTGAACACAACATTGGACTAAATCCTCCACATCTTTTTCTCTGCTTTAGTGTGTAGTTAGTTTGTGGTAAACATGAAGACATTGTCGCACGGTGTCTGTGATGCGGTGCCTCAAATGCTGACCCATAAATCTGTTATTATGCTAAACCTAAAATAGGGGTCCTTTTCTCCTCAGACACATAAAGGATTAAACAGGAAATGTTCTGAACTTACAGTATATAGAGAATTTCTACTTTAAATGCTATGAGTAAAAGATCACAGATGTAAATTGTAGTAAAAGAAAGACAAATAAATCACATCCAACAATGTTATGGTTCTAAAGTCAGTATATAACCTTTTTTCGATTAGGGCTGATTATTTCCTCAATAAATTCGACTTGTCTATAAAAGGTCAGACAATTGTGTAAAATGCCTGTTAAAATGTCCCACAGCCCAAGGAGATCTATTTAGATTCCATGTTTTATTCAAACCTAAGCCCAAAGATATTCAGTTTGCTGTCATAGACTAAGAAAAGCTTTCAAATCCTGATATTCAAGAAGCTGCAACCAACAAATACTAATACTAAAATGATTAATCGATAAGCAAAATGGTTAAAGACTAATTTTCTGTTGATAATTACAGACTGATTGACTAATCAATGGAAGTGGTGGACCTACCAGTATGCGGTCAAAAGCAGAAGGGGTCCCTCCTCTCTGCACATGCCCCAGGATTGTCACTCGCGTGTCGAAACCCAAGCATTTAACAACAAGCTAGGAGGATACAATGTACAGGCCTTAGCAAACACTGTGGCAACATATTTTGTTATTCCTCTAATGTGAAACACCACAGTAAATTTATTTATTTTAACTTAATGGAAAATGGTACTAACTCATCACATGCATATTAGTAATGCAGCTAAATGTGAAATAATGTCTGCAATAGAGCTATACTGTGAAATAAATGTATATTCTAAAATGCATACATATATGGACCAACACATCACAAACACACACAAAAAAAACACAATAAAAAAGCAGAAGAGAAGGGGAAACAGCAAAGCACAAGCAAGCCATTCTAATTTTTCAGTCATGTTAGCAGAGAGCTCTTAGCTTAAACTGAACATCACAGAAGACCCCAAGCAGGAAGTGCTTTCAATTAAATGGTGATACTTTGGTACTATACAAAAAAAAAAAACAATGCCTTCAAATAAATAGTTAGTGCACTGTCATGCCATTCAGTAATAATCTCCATGAGCAAATTTACAGTGTAAAAGCATCAAAAGACACAAAACCTAACCTAGTGAGTGAGGCAGTTATAAATCAGTCCAGGCTGTGAGGTTTAGTGAAGGTATCTGCTCAGGGTCTTACAGCAGTACAGGGTTCCCACACATTTTTACCAATACATTTTCTAACCTTCTCCATAATGACTTACCCCATTTCTTTGATGTTATTAATAAATACATTTAAAATAGGTAGGCCTACAAAGTGATCATAGGGCGCAATAATGAGGCTCTTACTCCAGTGTGCTATGCCCTAAAACAGGTATTGCATTATACAAATGCAGCGTGGAATGTTACTCGCTCGTCACTAGCTACATGTGTATAATGTGATACTAGTGATTTGAACATATTAGAACGTATTTTGCATAACATTTGACAAGTTTGGGGATTTTAATGAACATGCCAAAACAATGTATATATAAATCCTTTCCAAAACATTCTGTTAATTCCAAACAATTTCAAAGCCTGGAAAACAGGTTTTCTAATTCCCTAACTTTTCCAGGAGTTTAATTACCATGGGAACCCTGAGTAGTAGTAGTAGTTGTTGTTGTATGGTGAAAGCAGTCTTACCAAAACTAGAGAGTGTGTCTGATAGAGCACTCACAGCAACAGTGTCAAAGCCACACCAGGGCAGCAGTACAGTAGTAGTCAGGCTTGAAGCTGGAACTTGCCACACAAAGCACTGTACTTACATTCTTGATATAGTCAGTGGTAATGGGCATGTTGTTCTGATCAATCGCCCCTTCAGCTACAATTATGATATTCAGCCTTTTCATCCCTGCTCGGTTCTACAGGAGGGGTGGTGGAGAAACAACATGACAGAAAAACTGAGACTGTGGCTGTGACATGGACTTTCAGAAGCATGGGGGCCAGACGATGCTAACAGCCAGAGAGCTGATAAAGACTGTGTCTGTTTGCACTTTGTGATCAGCAATATCCTGCCAACATTATTGCTTGTCATCATGGCATTCTTGTGGACTTAGCATGCATGATCATGATTATCTTATCAGGAGTAGGATGGATCTTTTCCTCGCTCACATTACACATCTTCTGATTTTATATTCTGATGCTAATTATGATGGCAAACAAACCGTGAAACAGAATTTTGAGGTCAGTTGTGGCTCATAAGACTGATTTCCATCAGTCATGTCTCCATGCTTCTGGCTTCCCCTTTCTTTGCACTTAGGTACTCACATCCTTGACCAAACTAGAGGTTATAGGCTTCCCATGCCTGTCAATGGCTCCCTCTGCAACTATGATTATGTTCAGCCTTGTGCCCCTGGAACGGGTCTAAATCATAGAACAATAGCATGTGTCCAAAGCAAAAAACACAATAAGACACCGAGCGACTGAGACTAAACACTTTCCTCAGTCAGGATTAATTCCTTGCAGATAAAAAGAAGTTGTGCAGAATAAAAATGACATTGTCATGTTAAACAAGACTGCTAGGAAACATTATATCGCATTGGCACCGGTACAATATGGTTCACTGGGTTCACTGTGGGGAACAAATAAGATCGTTTTACCGCTGACAGTTTCTGACACATCTTATCCTCCCAGCCGTCCTCTGGGGGCATCTCAGGGATCAACACCCAGTCAGCACCACAAGCCAGGGCGCTCACCAAGGCAAGGTAGCTAGGATAAAACCCAAACAGATCACTGTGTATGTAAACAGAGGTGGTAATGGTCTCTGTCGCTGTCTCAGGAATTGTGTTTGTGAATATGCTATTAAGTTAATTAAATGCATTCTTACCCGCAGTGTCGGCCCATGACCTCTAACACAAATGTCCTCTGGTGACTGGAGGATCAGAACAGAAATTATGACTTAGCAGTGCATCTGTGTAATACAGCACCAGAGTGATGTATGATCAACAGATAGTTTAAATATGATGCTGAATTGACCTGAAATTACCCTAAAACCATTTTCTTGCAAGGTTTTCAAAGTAAAAGGCAGGCCTCCCCAGGAGAGCTCCATACAGTTACATTACTTACTACATTATTATTTGTAATCAAAAGAAGATCACATAGAAAAGCCTAAATGTGTGTGATTTAATAAAATAGATAGTTCAGAGACACAGTGGTTTTGGGGAACATTACAGTTTTTCCAACTTTATCAGAGTCCCTTTAAAACCTACAGGAGCGTCTGTAGTTGGCGTCTGGCATCCAGGAATTAAGCAAATCAAAGCAAGTAAACTAAAGGTGAGGGGGGCACCTTTTTCCAGGCTTTGTCTGAGGGGAGGCCCACAGTCTCAGACTTTGTAAACCCTGTGATAGAGCAATGTAGATACTCAGCATCACAGTAATTATAGTAAGCATCCTATTCAGGACTTAAAATGGACTTTGCATTATCCAACTTTTACATGCCAGTTTAGGATGTACTACTGTTCATAGCCATAGTTCATAGTTCAAATTAATCACACAGGTATAAATAAACAAATACAGCCCCTCTTCACCTCTGAGCAGTTGTCATAATTGCGTCCACCACCTCGATGATTCTGTGCAGAGCAGAGTCAGTACCGATTGTCATGTCGGTTCCACAGAAGTCGTTATCAATGGAGCCAACCATCCCCACAATGTGAAGGGCCGAATACTTCTGAACGGCATCGGCTTCGATCAAGCCTGGAAGGAGCAGGAAGTCAGGGTTTAACCAGTGTTAAAGTCTGTGTTTTCCAATGTGTTTTTACGGGATACAGAACAGGTTACTCTCACAGCTTGTTGTCAAAATATAACTGCTGAGGTCAGGGGAAATTATATTATTGAATAGGAGAATTTAATAATATAGAATAAAGAGGAGAACTATAACAATAATATTAATAATAATTGTTTTAAGTGATTATTTGACTTTAAGGTGGTACAGTTTTAGTATCCTACAGTTAAGTATCCTTTGGTCAACTTTGTAAATATTTAATCTGACCATATCAGTTACATATTAGAGTTACATATCCCCTGAATTCACAAAAGGCTGCACTGAGAAACTCCACATTAACCATAAGTGAGTGCTTTTTATTAAAAAGAAATGTGAACAAGTCAGAAAGAGCAAAAAAAAAATGCATCAAATCTGGCATTATTTCGATTCATAGCAAAGCACATCCTAAAGTTTCCTACTAGCGAATAGTGTTCTAATATGGGGAGAGCATCGAGAGGATGTGGGATGTGCAAACTATCTAACCTACAAACAGATTAGCCTGCTAAAACTGGCAAGTGCAGCGGCGAGTAAGTGTGGAAACAAAATCTGTAAGTTGTGACAGATGTGTTTTCTAGCGTCACCATAGCTGGTGCCACAGTGCAGGGTTTTCAGCAGAGTGGGTACACCTTAACCCAAGAAAACAGTATCAGGGTAAAGCAAAGAGGAGGTTCAGCTTTCCTCTGTACCTTGCTCCACCAGCTCCGTCAGAAGCCCACTCCACTCCTCCCTGAAGAGGTTGGCTCCTGTCAGACTGCCATCTCCACCGATCACACACAGGTTGGTGATTCCGTGCTGCACCAGGTTGTGAGCTGCCTTCAGGCGTCCCTCATGGGTGCGAAACTCTTTACAGCGGGCACTGCCAATGACAGTCCCACCCTGATGACGACAGGTGTGTCTTCAACCAAAAACATCCTCTTTTCCTGTGACTCTAATGCTGCGTTCCAGACTGCTCGGAACTGGGAAATTTCCAAGCTCCAACCTCAAAGTGTTCCAGGTGCATGGTGGTGCATGACGCCGAAAGTGAACAAAAACCATTGCTGACCGTGACAAAGTGTACACACAGTTGCACCCTCAGCAGTGCCTTGGGTGTTAATTAAAAGGATGGCAGTTTAAATGCAAACAACTGACATAAATAGCCTATATGATAACTAGTTAACTGTGTACCCCTCTAGCTACATCAGTTGTAGGTTACACTTCCTAATGTTTTGACATTTTTAACATTAACTTTTATGCAGAGAAGATGACTTCATGAGATTCTTTACTGTAGCCAGCTACCTAATAGGCCCAACATATTTCTACATCAATCATATGTATTATTTTAATTTAAATACATGTAAATATACTTTTTGTTGCCTTTTAGTTTATGGTTTACCATTTACAATATGTGCTTCCATGGCCACTGACATTGTTTTGTCACGTCATTCAGCTGCTTCTCGTGAAGTCGGGGTACATATTTTTTCTCCGAGTTCAAAAGTAGGAAATCTGACTTCAAGGGGAGTTCCAGGATAGTTTTTCTAGTTGGAGGTCGGAAATTTCCCAGTTCCGAGTTGCCTGGAACGCAGCATAAGTCCCTCAGCTTCTTTCTCACAATCAGTTCTGTGTACTTGGTGCAGTGTCTTGCTTGAGGACAGAGTACACACTGCTGATCAACACACACTGGCAGCTGGGATGTTTTAGGGGATGACTTCTCTAACACAAAACAATTTTATGTTTAATAACAGGGGCGTCCCTCTCTAACTTCAAGAAGCTCTTGAAAACTCATCTCTTCCGAGAACTTCTTCTTATAACACCTCTAACATGCACTTCCTGTGCTCTTCTTCTTCTTCTCGCCTTACAATTATCTTGTACTGATTGCACTTTTTTTTGTTAACTCTTACTTCCTTCCCTAGGTATTTACCCCATTGATGTGATATGAACTATGAGCTCTTACTAGTATGTATTGTCAGTTGTACATCTGTATTGCATGATGCTCTGTTGATGTTTGTATATTGTTCCTCAAATGTAAGTCACTTTGGATAAAAGCGTCTGCCAAATGAGTAAATGTAAATGTTTTTCATTTAAAGTACAAGAATATGAAAAATGTGATAACTATACATTCTTTAAGAATATTTAATGTTTAACAGAAATCCACAGATGAGAGAGCTGTTTATAGAGTCCATTTAGTAAGTGCATTAGATGTGTGGAATGCTGCCTATTATAATTACTCACCACTTGTAGCATGCTGGAGACGCTTTCCCATGAGGCTTCCTTAATGTTCTCTCCACCGTCCACCATACCCTGATATCCCTGATAAAAAAAAGATTAGGCTTCTTGGTAAATTAATACAAAATATGTCAAAACTAGGAATGCACCGATTCGATACTTCTATCGGATATCTGCCTGATACTTATTCAAATAGCTGTATCAGGTATTGGTGACAACAGGCTCGATCTGGGGCTAATCAATTACGTTTGTACTACGCGATGAATCAGCAGTGTGCCGGAAGACCCGAACATTTTGCTAGTGACAACATAGCATTTTTAGACTCTTCAACAAGAAAGCGATAAGAAGTAAGTTCTGTGGAAGAAACGTCTTCTGTATTCTCAGTATGGATATCATGGCAGAGGCTGCAAGGAGACAGAAGATTTTGGGTGAAGCAAGGAATAGAAAAAGAGAGAGTGACAAAACAAGAGACCAGACAAGAGTAAATATCAGACTGGCTTTAACTCATTGGCCTGAGCTAAAAGCTAAAAGGATGCAGGACACATGCCAAGCTGGTCTTCTTTCTGTTGGACTAATAAGAAATAACCTGGCTTGCTATGTCTTGTACCGTTGTCAAAAATCACCCACAGACAGAGGTTTAGCCTATAGCTATAGATCTAGAGTTGATGTCAGCAAACTTACTAAATAACACAGTCAGACATTTGTATTGTTATGTGAGAGCTGTTGTGTCTGTTGCTCTCTAACTTTGTAGGCTAGTTTGCCACCCAAGTTTAAGCAACAAATATGCTGCGGCTGTGGCGAGCCAAAGCTGTGCGAGTGGCCAACATAATTGGGCTCAGCAGCCTCTATGGACATAAGCTAAGAAGATAAAACAAGGACAACCAAGAGCTTTGTGAAATAAAAGGCTGCAAGACACACGCTCAGCTGGCATTCTTTCTGTGTACACAGTTGGACAACTAAGTAATATTGCTATGTCTCGTGTTGTTGCACTTGCTTGATGTTTGGCTGTGTTAGCAAAGTTGTCGACTTGCTAGTTTTTTATCATAAAGTAATCATAACAAATGCACGTGTACAGCTGTCCTTATTTACAACAGCAGTGAATTACACTCTGAAACAGTCGAGGCGCAAAATCTTACATGTTACCTTACACATGATGAATGATTCCCAATCTCTTCCTCACAGTGAGGAAAACAGCTTTTTAATTTTATACTGGTACCAGATCTGTACTTGGCATCGACCTGCACCCAAAGCCCAGGCATTAGTATCAGGACTGAAGAAGTCAATGCATCCTTACTCAAATCAGATACTCCAAGCAACATTATGCTACCAGCTGGAGTGATGTGGACTCACTCAGAATGAAATAAATATTTCAACTTAATGCAATACCTGAGAATAGTACAAATATGTAATTGCAAGTGTCCTGCAGACGTGTGCAGGAGAACACCCAGAGTACTGCTGTACCTAAGTGGGAGGAGAGTTTTAGATGAAGCATCTGCTAAAGCCTTAAGTCAGTTATGTAACCACACGCTGAGCGAGGAGGTGCATGACATCCACAGATGTGCAGGGATCACAGGATGAGCAAGCAGAGCTCGGCCCTCGCCAAACCTCCTCTAACCCTTTCCATGTGCTACATGTGCAGCCATCCCTTCATGAAATGCATTAATTTAAAACACCTGTCACTGCTTCAAATGTCTTTGACACCGAGTTGCTAAAAAAATCTATTTCCTTATACTTCTGCTGTGTTTAAAAAACTTGAATAATTACACATTTTACCTACAGCGTTAGGCATAAAAGGTATGCAAATTTTTATTTTAAAATGTACAGGTACACACGGGCTCACCTCATGAATGAAATAAACTTTTGCTCCCACATATAACCCCATTCGAACCACAGCACGTACAGCAGCATTCATCCCTGGGAAAAAAGGACACAAAAAAAGTCATCTTAACCATAAAACAAACTTTCTGCAACACTGCAGTGATGAGCAGGGTCAAGTTAACCTTTAAAGAGGGAAAACACATATGTTTCAACTGCAGCAAATCATTGTAAAATCCCATTTTTCGTGGCTGTTCCACAGTTGCTGCACAGATCTTTATTTCATCTTTGTCATAACAGCTAGCTCTCTCTAAGAGACAGTGTATGTTAGTGTGTGTGTAAGTACAGCCTATGTGTGTTGTTTACAGTGTCTAAATGATGTTTGGGCATAATGTTTTTTTCAACCCAGCCACACTGCCATTTATGGTCAAAATGTTTCCTTGCGCCTCCTCCAGCCTCTCAGTTACTTTGTGGTTAGTCCAAGTGAACTCAGTAAGGCTGCTCTGAGACTGATGGCAGGTTAGCTTACAGGCTTATGGTGGGAATAATGGATAATGCTTTCCCACAGCGGGCAGACAGGATCTTGGCCGACTGGAGGAGATATAAACACAAGAAAGGACTGAGCTTCCTTTCTCTGCACAAACTGGTGAACACTACAGCTCTGATGGCAGCCAAGCAGTGCTGTTACTAAGCAACACAAGGGTTTAAGCCATTGAGGCAGTGGTGAAAACAGCAAAGAAAGTGAAAAGACAGAGAAACTTGCAAGGTAAACTGTACTAGGAAGTAAAATGCGTTTAGAAATACCATTAGAAAGGGACCATCCTGTCCAGTGTAACAGCCAATGACCTATTTATTCATTACATAACTATGTTCAAATGGACACCCTTGTTTAATCACAGTTGACGAACACAGAAGAGGTTCAGAGACTGAGAAATGGAAAGACTGAGATAAAATATCCAAGAAATGTATCTTTCATGTCTCCTAGATGTCTTCATCAAAGCTAAACGTTGTTAAGTTGGGCCTTCTCATTCTGCAGGACTGACACTTTCTTGTGCACAGTGAGCGAAAAGACAAAGGCAAGGCTACATAATGCCCTCTGACACTGACATTCAGCTCCTGTCATGCATGCCACAGCCTCATTGCTTTGCTCTGGGGCCAACTGTGTGTGTGTGTGTGTGTGTGTGTGTGTGTGTGTGTGTGTGTGTGTGTGTGTGTGTGTGTGTGTGTGTGTGTGTGTGTGTGTGTGTGTCAAAAATGAATCCTAAAACCACCCACCAAGGATCGACTCATTTCTCCTGAGCCACAGCTATAGTGTAGAACTTGGCAAATAATAAAACTGCACAAAACTGTAGTGCTGCTTCTTGCTGACAGGGAAGTGCAGAAAGAAGAGGATTCAAGCTAAAACGACATCTCCAGGCTGACCTCCTGCAGGCCTTTTAAACAAGTCATAGTGAAAAAAAGCACCGCTGTAAATAATAAAAGGATTTCTGGCTGAATTCCATTTAGCTGCATTGGTTTGTGTTGTGCAGGGCTTAGTAGGACACTTGAATACAACAGAGCCATCATTAATGGTATTAGTAACACCTGTGCTTATCCTACTATCACTGCTCAAAATGTCTGCTGCGGAAAGGGCTATAAGAAGATGATTTTCTAGTTAACGGACACAAATATACCTGAGCCTCAATAACATCTGGTTAATCGACAACACACTTAGATTGATATATTTCTGATATCTAAGGTTGAATGTCATTTTACTGTATTAGATTTTAAAAACTCAATGTTATGATGGATTTATAAAATATTCCATTGGCATGTAATTGGCCTACTAGTTACATTGAATTTCCCCTTGTGGGATTAATAAAGTATATCTAAACTAACAGAAACTACTTATTATTTACATGTAGTGCTGTACATCGTGTATTCAGTCAAATCAAGACGCGAGCCGGTGGCCACGTGACTAGGGTTTCCTCTATGACGCAAGACCGACTGGCAGGGATGTAGCTGAGATGTATGCAGCTCATCACGTACGCAGGATGCAGGCATCCCACCACTGGCCCACGCTGTGACTGAAAACCAGCATGTTGATGAGGCTGTTTTGCAGTTTCTGCTTGTCATCCTACACGTTGACCAGTAACTTAGCACAACCCGCAATGCAGTGGCCTGCGGGTTTCCGGCTGTCACTGATTCTTCCACGTTAGCCTCATTATGCTGGCTTCAATTAAATGGTAACATAAAGTCGTCCGTTCTAGTGCACTAATACATTCGTGCCCGTGATTATGAAAAGACGACACGGCTCGACAGCTCTCTAAACTTCATCATACGTAGCGATAAACATGCCACCAAACCGGTGACTAACGGATGCTGTTAGCAAATTAGCAGGATGTGTCATGTTAGCATGCTAGCCGGCGGGGCAACTGAATGAATGGCCAAAACTTAAGATTTGTGTTTATACATTTAACGTTAGCTGCAGCAAAATGCGTTGTACACGGCAATAAGAAAGGCACCGTTACTCCACTAACACTACAGCATCCCGTAGTTGGAAGAAGAGTACTGACAATGACAGCCTCACATATCCGTGAAACTGTCCCCCCGACAGTTTACCTTGAGCATCCCCTCCGCTCGTCAGCACGGCGATAGCTTTCCCCGCTCCCGACAGGTTCTCAAAGAATATTTTCTTGCTGTCTGGCTGCGCCATTTTCACAGCGGTTCAGTATATATTCGAGTCCAAATCGATAAAATAATACAACGGGCCCGCAATTGAAAGTAGCTGTGGTGAAATGATGAAGGGCAACAGTCGCTCGCCCCCTCTACCGCTGTATGCCCGATATGTGCTGCTTCTTCTCCCTGTTCCGCATCTGTTCCTCGATTTGCATAGACTGGCAGGCAGAGTGATTGACATTGTTGTTAGCCAACCACATCTCGGTTTAAGAAGATTTCCTTTTACTTTAAACCAATGGTAAAGAAGGTGATGTCTGTGAAGATTCTCAGGCATACAGGATGGCTTTTTCCTTTATTGGATAACGTAGATGATCTGGGCGGGACAGACAGTGACAGGAGGGATGATGGTGAACGAAGTTGACTTGGGCAAAATTCCTGTCCGAAATATGTCGGACAAAGCACCCTGCAGCAGGTTAAATGCTAAAAGAGTGCTGCACTGAACCATAGTTACAATGTAGCAGCATCACATTGCTGAAATGGCACAGTGTAGCCATGTAGCGATTATGGGGGCAGTTCAATAAATACATTTAAACTTCCTTGAAGCTAATTGATTCCCCTGGCCCCTTCACTGTGGATTGATCATCACAGCATGCTGAAAACATTAATCATATATGACACCACTGACTGTGAATAAAGGAGGAAACACAATTCCACAAGTGAGCTACAAAAATATTATTATTATAACTATGCTTTTAAAATTACTCTATGTTGCATATTGAATTACATATTTTTGTATGATAACAGCTATTTACTTAACCCCATAGTGTGTTGTTGATTGTTTTGCATATCTGTAATTATGTGTTTTGATTGTGTGATCATGAAGCCTTCTATTCTCTTTACTTTTAATTTTTTCAGTATTCTTGTACTATTTGCTGATAAAGTTTGCCCACGAGTAACAGAAAATTTAACCTCTTCACTTACCTTATCCCAGTCTGCACCATAGTTTCAAAACACAGGATGACCTTTTTTGTAATAAAAACAGCCTTTTTGTTGATTGCCTTATAGTGATTAATAACCTGAAAGAATTAATTCACCTGCCTCTATTTAGAACTGGATCACTGAAACAACCCACAGTAGCGTTTCACTATGAGTGATGAGAAAGTATTCTCATTACAGCGAAACCTTTGACTAAATCCAGGGCTGTCAGAACCATTTTCACCAAAGCTAAGATATTCAAAGAGCCGACCATTGATTCTTGTTGGTGTATGACAAGGTCTGTGGTCTGAAGTATTGCCTTATTGCCTTATTATACAGTAAATTTGCTCAAATGTCCTCCTGTCAAACATGAAGCATGCAATGAAGATGGATATCAGTATTTCATTTCGAGTGTGTCTAACTATCTCCATCCAGTGGCAAAAAGAACAAATTACAAGCACAGAGACTGTAAAGGTGACATTGACCAAACACGAAATACACTCATTGTTATGTTGAAGAACTTTTACCTTACCTAAGATATTTTTATTCAGACAGGTGGGAGCCTATTTTGTTTATCTCATCAAAAGCCCAGTCATCATCATCATCATCATTATCAACATTATACTTCCTCCTCTCACAGGAATGTGACTGGTCATGTTTTACTTCCTTCTGAGCATGTTGGGGCATACCTGTTTCAAACTAAAAGGACCAAGCTAGATTTAATTCAGGTCGCTACATTCAAAATATTCTGCTTCATCTTAAACACATTGCCCAGATTCACTTGAATGACACGTCCAAAAAAAGTTTCAACAACTTTCAAGGTCACAGGAAGACATGACATCACCTTTTAAAAACAACTAAATGACTAATCATCAAAATCATTTCACTTATCAATGCAAATCTGTCTCAGATATTTTTCCACTGACTGAAACTCAGAAAATTCAGTCCAGCAGACTAGGGGTATTAATCATAATTTAAAAAAATCAAGTAATTTCAAAGTCACCCTTTGGTTTAAATACTATAATTCTTGTCTGGAGAGGTGGGAACGGTCCGTCCTCCAGAGATAAGTCCTAATTAGACAGGAGGACCAACCACAGTGAAATATATTTGGCTTTATTGTTCCTATTGGAATATCTAGAAGTCTCATACATGGATACACTGGGACGTACGGGGAGTAGTTATGGTCATATGTCTATATTTATTTTTATATACAGTCTATGGTCTATCTATACTAGGACTGTGTTCATTTCTTACATGCTACTATAAATTCCGCACATCTACCTGTATCATTACTGGAAATCAGTCACATAGGCACATCAGAGTCTGCAACAACAGTGGTCTTGAATATCAGGATTGTTGGATAGCACCTCACCAATCAAGGTATTAATGACGGTATGTGTGAAAAACACTATGTTGTAAACACCAATTATGCTTCCAACAAGTAGTTTTTTATGTGGTGTGATGATTGCGCAATCACCACATAATTTATTTGTGTGCATTGTAATAGTAAAAAGCTGCTAATGAAAATGAAAAAAGATCAGTGAAGCTTCCACATCATAAATAATACGTTCTACATTATCTTCAAATGCTGCTTCGCTCGTACTTGTGCTTCTTTTTCATCTCTTTCTTCTGGGAGAGGGAACTGCTTCCTTTACATTAGTAAGCCTCCCTCCCCTCAGGCGTTTACAGCAATCATGTGGTTTCACTCCATGGGGTTGCTGAGAAGATGGCTTTGCTGGAAACCGCAGAAATGACGCTGCCAGCTGGAAACTCTTCATTTTTGTATTTGATCTGTGCTCGTCAATTTTTGCCTTGAAAGTTCTGTAGCTGTTAAATTATGTCATCTGCCACAGTACAGTATGTAATCTCAGAATGGTTTCAAACTCTGTAGTAAGCAGAGGAAATTTTAATCCTTGTGACAAATGAATGTTACTTAAATACAAAGCATATGTGGAGTGTTTTAGTTTTTATCTATGCAGCAGCAACATATTACCTACTGTACTGTAAGCATCCATTTCAGCATGGAATGAAAGGTAGAATTTCTAAGCTTCCATTTAACTTAACCACTCAGAAAATCATGAGAAACAGCAGTATTATCTCTCATGTATAGAGATGTACACAGCCCAGAGAGAGCTCTACTGGCTGGCGATTTGCCATCAGCTTTGCCTTCACACAGTACCTGTACAGTAAATAGACCCGTGTATTTAAAGCGCTGGCTCACAAGAGTCTTTGTCTCTGCCTGTTACACCCTGTTAGCTTCATTCTAGAGGCCTGTAATGGAAATGATACTGAACATAAAGAACAAACAGTTGAATAAACTGTACTGAAGGGAAATTAACATGTTCCTGTCGGTGGATCCGGTGTTGGTGAGATTTAATGGCGTGTTGAAACACTATCAGGTGCAATTGCGGCATCTGAGTTGAAATGCTGTGGTAGCCTGAAGGTGAAGCCCTCCCAGGCATGACACTATTTTAAAAGGCTGCTTTTTTAAAAAGCCCCTGCATCGGCTCTGTGTAGAAAGTGTTGAGTGTGGCTTGGATGACACACAACGTGGCTTTAGGATAACTTAGGTAAGCATAGAGTCTTGATTTGATCTTCACACATGTATAGAGGGGTGAACAGATGTGGTGTTGGCATCACATGTGTTCACAAGTTGTGTTCTGGCACTGTATCTCAACAAACACACAAAAGAAATACTGTGTATTGTCAAGCAGGGGATAACTAATGATGAGTTTTTGAATTTATACGCCTCAACCAATATAAGAATCCGAATAATACTTACACTAATTGCTATAGTTAATAGTTAATGTTTTCTACCAATATTCAGTTTTAAATTGTACTTTTTTCATGCAAAACAGTTGTTGAATGAATTGTATCACTAAGAATGGTATTCCTAACAGGATGAAGAAGCCTCTCCCAACCATTCCCTCCCAGCAGAGGTCTCTCTCTCCCCATCCTGTCTCACTCGCTGTCAAATTACATTTCCCACCTGTAATTTTACACCCAAAACCTTATTGCATTGCTCAGTTTGTAGCTGTGTCTCAGGGGAAATCAGGTCCCAATTTGGCAGTGGGTGCGATATTGGCTAACATTGATTGTTTGTTCATTGGCTCGAGGCTGTCATTCAGAATGGTCCTTTTGTTGGGATATGGTTTCAGCAGATGTTGTGTCCTAAAGGGAGGGAGCTCAATCTTTACCTATCCCGGGAGAAGATCTGCTGCCTCATAGTTGAACCACATGGGGCAAGTTATGGTCAAGCACAGAAGTTTTTTAATGCCAATAATCAATAATGCCAATTTTTTAAAAACATGTTAATGATATAAATGATAAATTATTCTGGTCTAAGAAAATAAAAATAATAATATATATATATCAACTTTGTTTTGTGATTGTTTATTATTATTTAATAATTGGATAATATAGATTTTTACAAATGTATATGACAATTTGCTTGGTATTTAGGTTGCAAATGACACAGGAATATTCTGTGCAAAATTACTATGTTAAATATTGTCTGTTTGGAAAATAGGACTTTTGCACGTTGAAATTCCACATGAATGCGCTAAAAAAAACTGGATGTCCGGGTTTTTCACCAGTATTTAAACATAACATGCAATTTGTGGCTCAGATGCTTTGAAAAGAGAAAAACACACACGCATATATCAATCACTAGTGGCCGGTGACCCGTGCATACACATCTTCTACATAACAGTTGGTGTCATGTTAGGTACATAGACATAGTGAGCTAATGGTATTAAGTGGAGTGGAGCTGTGAACAATATTCCCCATGAACAGAAAATGATTGTGCTTGTCATGAGACTCATTAAAATTATCATGCTTTTAAATGCTTAATGGCAAACTGTATTTTACAGCTGATTCTAAATGCAACAATGAAACATACTGTTTTTATTTAACCTTGCTGATTAATAAAAATAAGCATTACTTATGTTTTATTTATTTTTTTATCTTTAACAGCCAGATTAAACTGAGAGTATTGTTACCGACAGGAACTAAAAACACCTTGTCTGAGGGTTAATAGTGGTCACATTTGGTATCAGGAACATGTATTTCAGCTGCAAGTCACAGTGAAGAAAAAAAAATGTTGGGAAAAGTAACAAAAAGAACACAAAGAGATGCTTTATAAAGTCAGGTAATAGCGTAAAGGTTGTGAACTGATTTCTTTTCCTCTCTGATTGCCACATAGGAACAAATGAGCAAGCTGCCAATCTGCTGAACTG